CCCGCGTCTCCCACGCCTTCCCCGGCAGGACGGCAGACATCCTGCTCGAGACGGGACTGTCCAGAGATGAAGCAAGGAGCTCGTTTTCTAGGTTAACTGCATAGGTAACTGGGTTACTCATTGGCACTGTGTGATTCAGCCTGCCGCACTGCCTGGGTCTGCACTGCCAGAGTCTGGAGCTCTGTTCATCTGAGGCAAAGCAAACGGCCTCTTACTTAGTACCTCAGCCCCTGACCTGGAAGGCCAGGCCCAGTAGAGAGGGGGCTGTCAGGGCCTGGACTCCAGTTCCCTGATGTTCTCCCACCTTCACCACTGGGTACAGGGTAGAGCAGTCTTGGGGTGGCTCTGACCTGTGCCATCTGGCAGTGGCCTTTGGAGGACTCTCCACCAGCTGAAAGCTGCTGAAGTCCCTTGGCCCGAACCTACCCACCCAGTTCTGCCCCCAACCAGCTGTGGGAAAACACATGAGAAACATATCGCAATGCCTGACTCATTCCACAGGGCTGTGAACCAGCTGCCAGCTCAGGAATGAGTTGCGGGGCCAGCAGTGCTGCTAGGTACCATAACTGTATCACCAGTGCTGCAATATCTGGTGTCCTCCTTAGCCCTCACTCCAGTCATGCAACTAGAGGAGAATTGCAGCTTTCACATAAAAAACAAAAAGTTTCAGTCCTCAGGAAAAGGCTCCAAATGGGAATCCTGAAGGCTCAGGAGCTGGAGGCAAACACCAAAGACCCCCAAAGGGGTGATTGCTAAGGCTCCCATGACACATGAGTCACTCTCATGATTCCTGGAGCCCGCACTAGACTTTTTCCCTGGTTGTGGGCAGGGCTGGGTTCTCAGCGGGGGCAAAGTAGTGTCAGGGAAGCCACGGCAGTTTACACTAGCTGAGAATCTGGCCACGATCACTAGAGACCAGGGCAGCTGGAAGCAAAAGGATCTGGAGCTTGTAACAGATCACCTAATTCAGTGCCTTCCCCTTCAAGGGTCACATTTTTTCCACTGTAATTTATGGCTTCCAAGTCCTGGGCTCTAAAATGCCCCAGGACAGGATATCTCTGGTCCTCCCCCACATGCATGTCCAGAAGCACCCTAGCTGTAGCCAGCCCTGAGTCCTCTCCACACGTCTCTGCTCTCAGAAGCACAGAGCTGGGAACAGCTTAACTTTAAGCAGCCTTCCTCTGTTCTGCAGATTTTGCAGAGAGAAGCTGGTTTTCAACATGACCGAGGGCACTGACTGCTTTCCCTCACAACAAACCCATTATGCGCAGCCTGTGCATTTGCACTTAAAAATGAAAAGTTCCTTAGCAGACACCTTAGCCCCAGAACCCTGCAGCTGCTGCTGCCACATTGCTGCTTGCACAAGGCCACACACATTTGCCCTGGTATCTCCTGTGCCTCCTCCACAATATGCCAGGGCTGTATCCAAGCTGTACTGTTCAGCTAGGCCCATGCAGCTTTGCGCAGGGACAGCCTGAAATCAATTGCAAAGCAGCCCAGATGAGGTTCATTTGTGCAGGGAAATGTCCAGGCACAAACAAAGCCACTAACGGGCAGATCTAATCTGACGTGACTGCATCCACCCATTGCTTTCCTGGTATTGCGTTTCAGAGGGACTGAAGTCAATCCATGTGCAGAGGGACTCAAAGGAACTGCCCTTTTTCTGTGAGGTCAAACCCAGCTGTACTTTGTAGGGTCCAAGTCCTGGAGCCTTTACCCCATCCCCACTCAGGGAGAACCCCACTTGCCTGAGCTCAGACCAGTCCCTAGACTAGCCCCACGTTGCTGCTGCCGTTCACACTGACAACCAGCCCCTGAGAATCCAGAGCCAGCGGGCTGTGCAGACCTGAGGGAGGACCAGGATTCCTTTCCCCAGTGCATCTGTCCGTTCTGATTCCCTCCTGCCAGGCAGACACAGCATTCCCCCATCCCCTGCCTGTGTCACAGACAACAGCAGCGCAGAGGACAGAGCCCTGCACAGCTGGTTTGCCTGTGATGATTACTCACACCCCGCAGGTCTCTGGACAGCCTGTGCAAAGCCCTCGCCAGGCCTGATCAGACTCTCCAGTTACCTGACTCTTACCAGCCTCGCCGGGCCCTGCAATGAGCCTGTTCTATTAGTTGAAGAACTAATAGAACTGAACAGGGAAGCCTCAGCTTCCTGGCTGCGCCCTGATGAAGCTGGGTGCTTGGCTAGCGTGAAGGCTGAGAGGAGCGCACTGAGACTGGTCGCATCCGTCAGGGCTGTATTGGACTAGCCCTCATGGAGGAAGCTCTGAGCAAAGAAACCTCCCGCAGCTCAGAGGCAGAGGACTGCAGGGGATGAGGATTCCTGTTCATGCACCTGTTGCACCAGTGTGGTGCACTGCAAGAGCTCCCCTGGGGCCAGCTCTGCCCTCTCCTAACCTGGAGGCAGGTCTCTGAGGCTACCCTGCATTTTTGGTCCTAGTGCCAGATTTAACAGAAGGGGATGGGTCCCCACCTCCAGCTGTCCTGTGACGCAGCCTTGAGTCTCAGCACTGGGCTGGGAAGCTGGCAAGGCCCCTACTCTGCTTACTGTTAGCAGGGTACACACTTTGTCCTCCTGGCTCCAGCCTTGATGGAGATCCCTGGGCACCGTCTCCCAGGGGCTCATGTTCCCACCGCAGCAGGGGAAGCGGGTGCTATTACAGGGTGCTGAAAGCTCTGTCATCCCTCACATATCTGTGGATGATAAATATGGACAGATAAACCCCTTCTAATTCTCCACAGCAGCTGCAAGGGGCTCTGACAGCCCTTAGCTGCATGATGGATGGGCAAGCGGGTGGCTGGGGCACAGCCCCGCACAGCTTGTGCCATTGTTTTCCTAGAAACCGTGACCAACAATAGCAGGCCTGTGCAGTTCTGGAGGTGGCCACCGTGCTTTCATCCCCCAGCCGGCTGACAAGGCTTTTTATGTCTATGGATCCCAGCTCCTGGCCCAAACCATCCCAGCACGGGTGACTCATGGAGGCCGAACGCTGCTGATGAGCTGTTCCTGACCTGCCTCCTGGGCTTGGAGCTCAAGGACAGGGGCTTCCCAGTGGTGTCACCCTGTGGTCCTTGTGCCCCCACCCTGGTATCACTCCTGTCATTGTGCTGAGCCCCTGAGCATGGCTCTGTGAAAGCTGCTTCCCACCACACCAGCAGAAACCCTCCAGGAGCTTGTAGCTGCTCCCCGCAACTCAGCTCCCTGGGCCAGAAGTAGGGCAGGCCGTGGGTAGGAAGAACCCAGCTCAGAGAGTCTCTTTGCATGCCCCAGTTGCTGCTGCAGTGAGGCACAGAAAACCTGTGCACAAGGCTTTCTCTGTCCTGCTGCTCTGAACACGAGCACAAGTCACTGGGGACATCCTGTTCTGACTAATCTCTGCACCCACCCATGCTCACACCTTCACCCCTGCATGCCTTGGGGAGCACCATAGAGACTTTTTAGATAGTCTCTGTGCTGGAGAGACAGGTCCACTGATAGCCCTGAGGACAGGGTGGGGGTAGCAACAATGGCCCCCAGTGCCAGGCTCCCCCATGCCTCCCACCCCCTCTGGTGTCACCAGACTCTTGGCCATGAATGAGCCTGGCCAGGATGCTCTGGTCTACTGGGCTGAGACCTGAGGCCATGGGCTGGACATTGGAGTGGCTGGCTGCCAGTGACTCAGAGCTTCCCCTCCCTGGAACCTGAATCCTAAGTAACCTCCCCACTAAGGCATGAGCAGACCAGATCCAGGCTTCCCTCTTGACTCACTCCCCTGCTCCCAGTACAGAGGCCGGAGCCTGGCAGAACTGAAGCTGGGATGGACCCTCGCCAGCTCTGATGACGTTCTCCCTGTTCTCAAGGGATGCTTTGTGTTCTGGGGCTGGGCACGAATGCCACTGTCCCAGGGATGCACCGCCTGACTCCGGACAGTCGTGCAAATCAGGGGCAAGGGATGAAGCCAGACTCAGCATCCTCTCCCTGTAGAACTGACCTCCCCGGCTGCCTGCCCCTTCTCTCATCACCACCTTGGAGTAATTTAGCCAAGCCAAGTCCAGTGACAGCAGGAAGGCCTCTGCACATGCGCCGGGTCATCCATTTCCCAGGTACATGCACGAGAGCACACATGCACACACACCAGCACACATATGAACAGGCATGTGGATGCAGATTCCTCGATGCACAGACATGCACCCTGGCACATACAGGGCTGACCCTTCACACTCGTCCACCTCTCACTGCCTGGCCTGGGGAGTTGCCACCCACTCATCCTATCCCCAAGACTCAGCTGAAAGCCTCAGAGCAGAGGTGATCCCCCAGGGCACAGGGCAGGCTCGGCCTCTGTGAGGTGGTGGCTGCAGTCCCAGGGTGAGGACCTGCTAGGGGAAGGTGACCCGTGCTGCTTGCTTGCTCTCTCCTGCAGATGCCAGGGGTGACATCCCGTCGGCATGAGCTGTGCTGCCCAAAGCAGCGCTTGGGTGTCATCCCTATCTGCAACCAGCACAGGGTGAGCTCCTCCGGTGTCAACCTGAAACCCAAGCTGTGCTTGAATAGCCAGGTATGCGGGCGGCCTATTAATACCCACACACGCTGTGCTGGCAGGCAGCCGACATGCAAACTAAGGGACGGGGAGTGGGGAGGGTGAGCTACAGACCCAGGTCCTTGGGGGACAGCATATGCAGGGTGAAGGCAAAGCTCAGGAAATTCCCCTGGGGCTCCCAGGCTAGCCCCTGGCCCAGCCCGACCCTGTCTGATGTGAGAAGATGCAGCCAGGCTTCCCCCCCACTTCCAGAACAGCCCCGGGCAGCTGGGTGCAAGCGAGAGCAACCCCAAGGCTGCTCCAACTTACACTCGGGCTGTGTGGGTCCCAGCCAGGCCTGGAAGCATAGAGACCACATGTGTGTATGATGGGGGACGCATGCGCCTGCATGACCTGCTTATGCATGAAAGCATCTGTGTGTGTGCCCCTCTGTGCTGCGCCCCACTATACGTACACCAGCCCTGCCATACGTACGTCAGCTGCCTTCTTCTCTGCCAGTTCCAGCTTCTCCTGGGCATCCTTCAGAGACTCCAAGTATTTGTCCAGCTCGTCCTCAGTCCCCTTCAGCTTCTTCTGCATGGCTGCCAGCTCATCCTCCAGCTGCAAAGGCAGGAGCAAGGGGTCACATTGTTGCAGATGCCCAGGACCTGGGCAAACCTGGCTGCCTCGACTTGCTGCCACAACCCTTGGGGTGCCAGAGCCTGGGCAAATTTCCCCCAGCAGCCAAGGGCCGGCTGCACAGAGCCTCACTCATAACCCCTTAGCTCCCCACCAGATGCAGGGATGTTTTGGGGACCTTGGTGCTGCAGGGCTGGGCTTGGGTCTTCACCTCGCTGGGGGGATCTGGGGCCCATCCAACCTTACTCTAGTATATGCAAGAGCAGTGCAGTGCCCCTGGCCGGCACCTGGCTCTCCTCATGCATGTGTGCAGTGGGACAAGCTGCTTAAGCAGCTCCCACCACATACCTGGCTTCTCCAGAGCCCATGATGGCTCTGTTTCTCCTGAGAGCTGGATAAGGCCCCACTTGAACCAAAACCTCTGACTGCTGTTTAAAAGGGAGGGCAGGTTTGCAGCCCCAGGCATGAACAGGCCAGGAATGAAGCCCTGATGACCTTGAAGCAAGGCAGCTGAAGGAGGAAACCTCCCATCTGGGGTTCAGAGGAGGAGGATGAATGGAGTCAGTGCTCTGTATGTGCCCCTCAGGAGGGAAGACACCCTGGGAGTCCCAACTCATGATGCTCAAGACTGCCTGGGAGCAGGGGTCCATGCAGCACCCTTCTCTTTTACAAAGTCAGACTCAGCTCTAACAGGAATGGGCAGGAGCTGAGGAACCCTGAGCCCCCCCCCCTCCCCAGGCAAGAGCCAGTCACACTGTGGAGGAGCTGCTGGACTGGAGAGACAGCTGCATGGGGCTCCCTGAGCAGCTGCCTTGGACCAGGCAAGGTCCCCTGGCTGCCAGGAGCAGGGCAGGGAGTGCCGGATGTCTGGCAGGGGCAGGAGGGAGAAAGCTGTCCGGGCTGGTGCTGGCTGCTTTCACCCACCTGTTTGCTCCTCTCCTCTGCCTGCTTCTGCTCAGTCTCAGCCTGCTCTGCCCGGTCCAGGGCGTTCTCCTTGTCCAGCTTCAGCATCTGCATCTTCTTCTTGATGGCCTCCATCTTTGCTGCAGCGTTCGGGTGCCTCTGCCCTCAGGGACAAGCAGACGGGGTGTGCGGTTGTCTGGGGTTTGGGCTGCCGAGTGCTGGGCACATCCCCACCCGGCTGTTTTATCCCAGCACCCCTGCCAGCTGGCGCTGGCCTTTACCTTTCTTGGGCCACGCCGCCTCCCCGCACTCCCAAAATGTCTCTGCTTGGGGCCCAGTGTTCCAGTCCCTGCCCCGGGCATGTGGGGGGATGCCTACTCCATGACTTCACGGGCAGGGCCATATTTGGGCTCCTGTGGGACAGCTGGGAGCCGGTTATAAAAAGCACAGGTGGGGGGTGAGAGAAGGGGGGCTCTGCTTTGTTCCAAGGGGATTGTTTTCACCCCCCTGCAACAGAACACCCAGGGCTATTTTCACACGGTAAGACAGAGAACGTGCCTGCCCACGCCAGCCTCGACAGCAGGGCCTGCAGCCTGCGCCCAGCTCAGACGCCTGGGTCCTAGTCCTGCCTCTGCAGCTGATGGGCTGTCATTCGCAAGGCCTGCCTGAGAACCTGTACCCATAGCCGGGCACCCAGGCAGCCCTGGGCACAATGTGCATGGAAACGTTGGGTCAAGGCTCTTCTGGTCCTGCTGCCCCAGGGGATGTGCCAGGGCTGGGATCCAATCCTGGGCCCTGATCCTGCTCTCCCTGGCTGGAGCAGGGTCCCTCTGCTCAGCCTCCATGTAACCATGCAGGGTGCTGGCACTGGAGTGGTGGGGTGGTAAAATGCCCTCCCCAAAGCCAATCCCTTGGTCCTGCCCCTTGTTCAGCACCACCAGGGCCTGATCCCAGGGACCAGGGAGCCTGGCAGCTCTTGGGTTCTGTTGCCATTCGGTGGAGATCTGCCTTGTCCCTCCGTGGGGCCAGGACCAGTGAGATCAGGGCTCCCCCATCGGCCTCTGTGCTGGGGGATCTGGGGCTGTGGAAAGAAGGGACCAGGGGAGCTGTGGGAAAGGAGTCCCTTGAGCTAGGAAAAGGGGGAGCTGCACAGGGGCCTGATGGGAGGGCTCCCAGGGGAGTAATGCATCTGTATTAGGGTCATATGGAAAAGGGCCTGCTTTAGTTGGGGGTCATAGTTTCATAGTAGATAGTGT